CAGATCTTTATTTTTTGTCACTGCTATCAGATCAATCAAATTCTACTACCTAAAATTGATGGTCATTAGTGGTTTCAAGATCTTCACTCTGTCACAAATTATGGATCGTTGTCATTTTGGTTCTTGAAATTCAAAATTTAAATCATATTCATGAAAAAATATTTCTAGCGGAAAAGAGAAGTACATGTATACAGAAAACTGTTATTGATTGATTGATTAATTTTTTTTACATGGTTTCACTTTGATATGAGATGTTAATGTTACATTTTCATTGTTTATATGTATATATCAAAAACTTCTTTTGGTGAACAGTTAATGGTATATTAAACATCTTGACTTAGAGTGAAATATTATTTAATATATTTGCAATAAATTTTAGAAATGTAAGACATTGTTATGGAGCTTTAATTAGATACAAGATCCATACTAAACTTTTCAGAGAGACACAGAGTTATGTTTAATGATAATCAAAGATGAATGAAGTTGTATTACTGTTCATTATAAAATATAAATTGTGATCTTTACATGTAATTTCACTATCATTTCTTGTTCCTTTTCAGGAGGAAAATAGGACAGGACAGGAATTTGATCTTTAGGTGTGTTCATATCTCTATGCATTCACAACCTTGAAATGGCCTACTTGAATGACCTCTGGTATCTACGAGTACAGTTTATTCGAACAGAAGCAGCCTACATCCTTGAAAACTTTACCATTATTCACTTGATCCCAAATTTCCATGGTTACCAAAATTTGAAGGTCATCATTGGTTTCTAGATCTATGCCACAGATAGTGGGATGATGTTCACAAATGGGCAGTTGAAATGGTCAAGTATCTCTTTGTCTTGATCAGGTTAAGCTATATATATCCAGGGGGAATGTGACAAGGGAGATAATCAATATCTGACCGTGTTGTCCAAGGTTGCGTATTGCTGACCTAATAGTGTTGGCCAGTTACTATTTTTCCATTGTGAAAGGCTGCATGTTATGCAATATTATCAAATACAATGATTGGATCTATTAAAGATTATTTTTGTACCAGAAATGTAATTTATCATATTAATTACTGTCACAGTGTATTCACGTTTGCTTGTGGGTTTTTTTAACCTTGCCTATTTCTGGAACTATCTAGTAATTATATCATTGGTATATCATTGAATCAGGTTCAGAAGTGTAAACCAATACATAATGAATTGTCAGAATAAGCTCTTTAAAGACTGTGCCATCAATTTATTATTTCTTTACCTAGAACATTGTCATTCTTTGATTTTGTTGAAACAATTAGATTTTTATGTCTATTAGGTTTTATTGTGTAAATGGTACATTTAAATTTGTATATAGTGTGCTTGTTTGGCCGTATCATAAGAATCAACCATTTTGTTTGTAGAACCGGCTGAAGAAGCTTAAAACTTATTGTCTTTGTTTTAAGGAACGCAATTTCATTTTAATATTTTTACTGGTTTTAGTAAATGAGATTTTTATTTTCATACCTCCAATATGTTACATTGAGTCTATTATCTCATCATGTGTGTGGAATAGTGTAAAGCACCAAGTACTACCATAAAGTTCTAATTACAACTATTTCAGTAGAATTCATGGATTCATGTTTTCAGAATATCTTTCTTCAGTTGATTTATTTCCATCACAAAAGAAGCTCCTGTGACCTTGATATCTATAGATAGGCCAAGGTGAAATGTTTTTAACTACAGTAAATGTTCAGCTTTCCTGTCCATCATCTTGTCGGTTTGTCCTTATGTATGGCCTCTAAGTTTAGTTTTGTATTGAACTCCATTTCTCCGATTTGTTGTACCTTAGTCCCTTAGTCATCAAATATTTTAAGATACAATACCAGGAGTTGTTACTACACACCAAATGATATATATAGGTCCATGTGACCTATACTTCACTCTTCAGACTTTGTATGCACTTGTATTAAACATTAATCTAATGGTGTTGTGCATGTATATTTTCCTACTAAATGTCTTAATGATTAAACTTAACATTGCCATCAAACCAAGGGCAGATAATGCTGTTGACAATGTTGTATCCATTGTATTGAATAGTACTGTCAGGATGGCTGTTGAAATTTGTATAGAAAAAGTGGATGAAATATGATACATTGTTTGACTAAAACTACTTTCAGTCTTAGGTTGTAGTAGGTTTTTTTTTTGTTTTTTGTTTTGGTCTATACCTGTTCTCATATCCCATTTATGTTTAAGTGTTTTGACATAATTTGATATATTGAAATGTTTTTCTTTAATTCTAAAGTTGCAAGAATATATAGACTTTTTTTAGAATGATCAAACGATTTGAACTGATTGACAGCTTTGTTTTAACTTAATAACATTTATACCTCTGTGTAGTATAGGATGACAAGGGATGAGAAATGTTTGGTACATTCACTGTAACATTTATGTCCAGTCCCATGATCACGCTGTTCTGCTTTGAATCAAATTCACTTTGCATTTTCGTATATGTATATTACATTAGATGAATATTGTTGACAATAAATACAGAAATATTTTCATGGCTTTCCACAAAAGCAAAAAGCTGTGGAACATTTCATGTATCTACAAATGTTTTTAAAGAAAATGCTGATAAATTAATCAGTGGTTAGAACGGTGACATTCTGAATTTTAAGGGCAAGAAATATGAGTCTAAATTTTATGATGTTATAGAGATGTGACAGTCTCAATTTTATATGGTTTAAATTTGTGACAGCCATTTGTTGTATGGTCAGAGATATACTTCTTAATATTGTTATTGTCCTTTTAGCAGTTATAAGCATGGCATTATCATTTGTTTTACAACAATGTGTATCGTGACTGGTTCTATCAATATTTTGATGAAATTATCTCCCTTGATTCGAACAGACAATATTGGTATTATATAAAATCATGTTATTCGTTCCAATGAGATCACAAGTGGTGTTATCTATATAACTGGACAAGTAGAATATCTGGTCACAGAAAACTTAGTCGGGATGTGTATCCAATTATACAATTTAATAGTCTATCATTGGGAAGGTTTCTGGATTTGTTTTATACCAGATTTTTATAAGTGTTTAAATAACAAGATTTATTTTTTCAAATGAAGTAGAGAGAGTCCTTGTATATTAGACTCTTTATAATCCCAAAACTGGAGGTTTTATTTTCATCATTATTTTTACTACAAATTTATGTTTTACATCTTATAGAAATGTGTGTTCAGGAGTATTTAAGTGAAGTCACATCATCAGAAACCACATTATTGCATCAAAACAATAGCCAAGATTTTGTTTAGTAAATATTCATTCAATTTCAATTTCAATAAATGTCACCTTTTCTTAACATAACCAGTCATTTCGTTTTTATAACTTGTATGATTTGGAAGAGGTGGAGTGAAACCTTACTAATCCAACACTATTTATAGCACGGGACATATATATATTGGTCTGATTAGGCAGGCACTAGGATACAAAGGTTTTATTCCAAGTTTTCTCCATTATAAAAAAGAGTATTGGAGTACTCAGGGTTAGGATTAGAAAGATTCATTGTGTAGTGTCAAAACGTGTTCTTACATGATATAGATTTGGAAGACAATGTTTGGAAAATTAGATTTATATTTTGTAAAATAATGTGAAGCTAAAATCTTCTGTTACCTAAATTTAGTGCAGCCTTATAGTTATCTACAGGTAGTTGTGATCTGCATATGTGCTCAATATCTCATGGCAATCCTATATCCTATGTTATAGATCACAAATTATCATATGTGCACTTCTGTAGTCCATCAGTGTAGTGAAATTTTCTTGCTATTTAAAAATTTTGAAGTAATTTCATACAAAATCGGAATAGAGTTTTTTTAATTAGAGACTTCAGTAATTGTTAATTAAGGGATCATTTTTACAATAATTCCAATAATTGTATTTTTGTTATAACTCCATCAATAGTTTCTTTTGTACAATACTTTTCATAATCATGTATTTTTGGCAAAGGCTACTTTTCTACATTCCAATGAATAATTATAATAAAATGTTAATACAATTACATTTGAATTTGTAATGTTTTCTCTTCCTTTATATGTAGAGTACTGGGGTAAATACAAAATATGATATGATAAAGTTGTGGGAATTGCAATTTTTATCTGATTCTAATGCCACCTTTGAAAGTCTATTAAACTTTTAGTGGTGTTAGCAACATTCACAGAGACCTGTAATGTCAAAAAACACTTCTCAGAGTGGGTTATAGGATCTCTGTGGTGGAGACTTCAAGATTTTTCACAAATAAATGTCCCCTGATGTGGGGATAACAATCTCAGACTTACACCTGTGGTGGGGACGGGAATCTCATTGATATCTGTGGTGGGGGTAATGATCTCACAATTATACCTGTTGCGGGGATGAGGATCTCACACTGATGCCTGTGGTGGGGACCGAGAACTCTCACTGAAACCTATAGTAGAGTCTGGGATCTCATATCAATGCCTATGGCGACTGGAATCACTTGCTTATACCTGTGATGAGGAAAGGGATCTCTTACAGATAAAAGTAAAAGTGACAGTGATTTCACATAGATAATGCGGTAGGGACCTTTCCCTGTAGTAGGAACTGGGAATTCCCACTGCTGCCTGTGATGGGGACTGGAATCTTACCTGTGGGTGGGACTGGGATCTTTCACCGATATCTGTGGTGGAGTCAGGGATTGCTCATTTATACCTGTAGTAGGGACTGGGATCTCGCACTGATACCTGTGATGGGTATGGGTTTCTCAGCGATACCTGTGGCATGGACTGGTATCTTTCACTAATACTAACGGTGAAGACTTTGGTACCTTGAATCCTTGTAGTGGGAACTGTAGGATATCTCTCACAGATGAGGAGTATTTCCACGTGTACTAGTGGCATAACTGTCTGTTACCTATACTGATGTAACTTTCTACTAGCAAACTCATTTTTGTCCTGAACCTAGATTTTCACACTAGGATCTAACAATATTAAACAATACAACAATATCATAAAAACAATATTCATTATTAAAGCTGTATTATATTCTTAACGTCAATCATAAAATAAGTATCACAGGCTTAAATAAACATAAAAAAATAACATAATCCTTACCTACTATCACCGACCACATGTTTACAATGTTTGCTGTCTTGATAAAAGTCTGAATGATTTCATTTCATTCAGTAAATTCATTACAGTACTGGCTCTACACCTCCTAATCTCAATTGAAGCAATCAAAGAGACCACAATTTATAAAAAATTTACTTCTGATTACTGCATGTGTAAGACATTAATAAAATGTAGAGATTTTTGCTCAGACAACCTTTTTTATCAGGTACACATTGTTACAAACAGTAAAAAATTCCTTCATACACAAACTCAGCTAAACATCCTATACATCCAAGGGCGTATTGGTGGTCTTTAATGAAGGTAGACAACTCACGTAAATACATAGATCACTGACAATTTGTTAAAATTGATGAATATCTATGCAAAAATAAGTTGTTGAACATATTTTTATTATTACCAAAATGAAAAAGAAACAAAAACATAAAATTGTGTTTATTTATGGATTTGCAGTAAAATGGGAAAATTAATTTGACATACCAGGTATTGCACACGTGAATTATTCTGTTTTAATGCTTTATATTCTCATGATATCTACAACTTTCAAAACAACTTACTTTTATTTCAAAACAGGCATATGAAAATAATACAGTTTACCAGAATATTCATGTGATTCTAACAGAAATCACTGAAATGCTAATTTCAAGTGAGAAGACAACTTACATGTGCCTTAAGCTGGAGTAAAACCAGAGGGAAGAGGTTACAATCAACACCATCTTGTTTTTGATAAGATAACATCAGGAGTCCCAGTATTTTAGATATCTTACTGCAAAGTCACCTGAAGCTCAGATCTGGTAAACTAGGTTTCCTTAGTCAGTTCAGGTGTGGTACTTATTTGTAAATCCTAAAATCCTAGGATGTCTAATAGTATTCTAATATTCTTGATATTTTGTACAACAATAAAAATATGTATATATTATAAGAGAATGGAATGGAGTCTAAATTTTGATAAAGCTGTCTCCATAATCATACAATCACCATTACAAGTGAATTAGATTTTAAAACTTGTCAGCAAATTATCTAAATTTGCACCATTTATGGTTAGAAGATCCAGAACTCTCAATTCTTTTATAAAATAATTTCATCCTCTATGAAATGGCATTCTCATTGGCCAACAATTTTATGGCATCACCACATACCATATAGAAATTGAGATCAAATAGAAACATTACATTAGCTTGACCAATGTGGGGGTGTAAGAAACTATCAAAGAAAAGTGACCATTTTTAAAGTTAAAAACATCACAATCTTTGATAACAGTATAAGGATAAACCACTTCACAGCTTTGACTGTTTAAATTATGTCTGAATAATACAAAAATTAATTTCATCCTTAAATTTATCCTTAAACTGATTATTTACTCAGGAATAAAAAATGGCAAACCAATAAAGCTACAAGATTGTCTATATGGTTAAATTTTCAATTTCTCTGGTTGACCATTTTTACGTATACCTGTTTAAAAAATTGAACAAAAGACACAAAACCATCTATTTTCTTGAGGCTGGAATCATTATACATGTAACTGTTCCCAGTGCAATATGCTGCTAACATAGTAATCCAATGGGACAACACCTACATAATTAGATCACTTATGTATGGCCTTCACCTGAACAGATATCAGGACACTTGCTTGAGCATGGCTGTAATGGCTGCCTCCAGACCCTGTGCAAGTTGTTTCCCCGAGTATGGCTGATCCAATGGTGGAACATGGATGAAGGCAGAACGTGATCTGTCAATATTTAGTGATAAGAAGTAGGAAAAGTCACAGAGATACCTGAAAAACAAAAGATAATATCTACATCAATACAAATATCAATTTATAATTACACTGATTACCTAAAAGGTAAGTTTCTGCAAGCTTAAATATATACTCGACCATGAAGTCACTAGAGCCACAAATATCTAGAAAGAATGGCACCATTTTTGACCCAAGGATGTCAAAATTTTAAATTGAAGATAATGATAGGTAGAGATGTGTAAAGTTTTATAACTATCTCAATCTGACGTAAAATAAAATCAATAAAGATTGTTAAAGATGCTATTATATAGAAACTGTGCCATCATTGCTGACATACGTAAGTCAAGACTCAAACTCCTACTAATGCAAATAGAAAAAATACCAAAATATCGTAAATGTGCAAATTAATGTAACTGGTAAATTTCCTGATATAAGTACAAAGCTTACCTTCCCGGGTCTTCTGACACTGTAGACTTGACTTCGATACCTGAGTCATTGATTTCGTCGCAAACCTTTTGCATGTCTATACCCGACACAATACAATTGTTTGCTCCGTTTACACAACAGTTCCTCTCTGGACATGTTCCTTTAACATCTTTCTTGTCATACCCATCGTTGTGAGCCTGTTGTTCCAGTGTTAACTTGGATGCGATTCCAGATACACCGACATGTATCACTAGCTGGTAATCACAACAAACACTCCGTTAAATTAATAATACAGTAAATTTATCTTTGTCAAGATTTTTCTCTTTGATATTCGATATCATTTGTTGAGGTTTAGAAGGGGATAAGTGGGTGGAGGGAGGATTGATGGGAGGAAGATAAAGATTTTCAATTTTATACTTTGTATTGTTTAGCTATGTTCAAAACATCGATTGAAAATAATCCCAATTGCAACACAAAACATTGGCAAACAAAGTGTTGCCTAAAGAATAATACTATACAGGTATATTTAAAATTATTTTGTACATTTGTGACCTGATTACAATGATAATGTTCACCTGTGACCTGATTACAATGATAAGGTTCACCTGTGACCTGATTACAATGATAATGTTCACCTGTGGCCTGATTTCATTGATAATGTTCACCTGTGGCCTGATTACAATGATAATGTTCACCTGTGACCTGATTACAATGATAATGTTCACCTGTGACCTGATTACATGGATAATGTTCACCTGTGGCCTGATTACCTGGATAATGTTCACCTGTGGCCTGATTTCATTGATAATGTTCACCTGTGGCCTGATTAAAATGATAATGTTCACCTGTGACCTGATTACATGGATAATGTTCACCTGTGACCTGATTACAATGATAATGTTCACCTGTGACCTGATTACAATGATAAAGTACATCTGTGACCTGATTACAATGATAATGTTCACCTGTGACCTGATTACAATGATAAAGTACATCTGTGACCTGATTACAATGATAAAGTACATCTGTGACCTGATTACACATGTGACACAATTACAATATGATATACTAGTGAGCTGATTATTCAACTAGAGCTGACAGGGATCATTTTATAAATAACATAATACATTTATACACCAGTAATTCCTGAATTGAAAAGCCAGCTAAGATTCCATAAGGTTTTACCTGTTTGTAGATTGTTATATTAACTAAGATTTTAGAGATACAAAATGATATACTTACACAAGGTTTGACTTCCTCCCACAGTGTAGGTATCATTTTATGTACCGTGTCATACTCCACAGGAATTTCCTGAATAGATATTTCTACTCCCTCTAAGTTCCACTGCTTGTCCAGCTCCTGCACTGCCACCCAGCTAGCATTGACAGTATGGGCACCAAATGGTCCAAATCCTGCACAAGATCAAGTGCTCATTGTGAATGTTGTACTCTAGGAAAACTTTGTAAAAAGAATCAATTTGTTTTTCCTTCTTCCCAACTGACGGAACAGTTGTCAATGTATAAATGTCCCTTGTACTAGAGATGCAAAATTATATCAACTATTCATGATATTTCATTTTCTTTAGTCCAAAATCCCTTTGGTATTTTAATAACTTAATTTTTCCTTATATATATACCAAATGCAGAAATTTAATGGATCTGTTTTAATTTCTCATTACACTGAGCATGGTATAGCACATGTCATGACGACAGATCTGCTTTTATTTTATTTTCAAGTCTTTCTTTGTTCCAAATGCTCCATTTATCATAAAATTTTCCTGGCTATAACAGTTTTACCTGTAACCAACACTGTTTTCTTTGATGCTGCTGCTGGCATGGTTGTGTAGTATTGTGTGTCTGTATATCTGTACCTATTTATACAGTACCTGTAAGTGTAAACAATAAGTATGAAATACATAGGTATCTTTGATCTACATGCATATATGTATCTTAATACTGTATGTTAAACGATTCTATATATGTACCAGATACTGCGAATTGTAACTTAATAAATATACATATTTTCTAGTCCGTTTTACATGTACCTCTGTTCAGAACAGTACAGGTAAATAATGCACCTGTATATCAGAACAGATTATAATGACATCTCTATTGTCTTCTATTGATTATATAATTCTTTTGTTCTTAAAAAGTTGGAGAAAGGAGAACAAACCGACATAATAATCTGACATATAAAACCTTGCCATACATTTACCACTGAGGCTAGCAACGATATTTGTGGGACAAGAATAAATAATATGTAAAAAAAGTACATAATACTGATAGTTTATGTGCTTTTTATCTCTTATCTATTCTGAGCTTACTATTTATAGTCGCTAGCCCATGTGTCACTATGTGTGTAGTACAATGACGGTGTACCTGGATAAGAGTCGTTATCCGAGTGACTGATGTCCTGGACGTCGAGTTTGGTCACCTGTTTAACCTTCGTTTGGCATGAACTTACCGGAGAGTTTAACTGTTACTAGCTATCAAGAATTCTGCCCCGAGTAACCGTCTGATTGTGTTAGCATCTGTAATAACGGTACGTAGTATTAGGCCTAGTTGTCCGTGCAAAAATTATCCTTAAACAGGAAATGAATCTCTCCCGGCTTTCTTTTTGGGAGTTATTTCCCTTGAAACACCTTTCTAAGGCGGAAGGCCGAAACGACTCAAGGATGCATCAATGTTTCGCTCTAGGTCCTATTGTAATCTAATTCTAAAATTGCAATAAAAAATAAACCGTAATGAAAGGTTGACCCGTACGTCTTTTGTACACTACGGATAAAAATTATTTAAGAAATGAAAAGACTGCGTTAGGAGAGAATTTTTCACAGACTATACGACTTGGTAATTCAACCGGGGAAAAAACGTCGAACCAGTTGGTATGTCCTGAATACATTATAATTTCGGATCAGATTTATTTATTCATTTCTCTAAGATATCACGAGTGGTAGTCCAACCTCTCATTAAATCTGACACCTGTCTTAAAGCGGATCACGTTGCGATCGGTTCGTTTCCTATTTATGTCATTTTCAGCTAGATAATAAATATCCTAATTTCAGACCTCGGTAAGATAGTTGCCCCAAAAGAAAAAAAAAACTGTGGAATGGTCAGCCAAAGGGGAAACACGGGAGAGTTGAGAGACATTTTGTATAGTCACCATTATGGTTTTATTTGAAAATGAAGGTGATTTGATGCTGCGATTTGAAGAATGCTTGTTAGGCAAATCTGTTTTAAATTCGAGGATGTATCAAATTGCTTTGGTTTGGCGTTGAAGCAGAATACGCTTGCTCTCCTGGCACGCCGAGGATCATTACATTATATTTCAATGAATTCTATGCTGCGCTGCATGCATCTAAAGATAAACTGAATTGTTTCATTTCCTATTATTATCAAATTCTTCCAATCCTGCGCATTGAGTTTATAATGACAAATGATAAAACCCTACCTGTAATGGAATGTATTGTGGTAAAATTCGACTGTGAATGGTATATTACAAGTATAATTCACTGTTTCTCTTAAACTTTAATAAAGTCTCCATTTTTTTATCATTCACAACACTGACAACAATTCTTTTCGAGCGGATCGCCAAGGAGACCACCCGGATAAGACGCTGCTAATTAATGGGGGGGGGGGGGGGGGGGGGGGGGGGCTGATGAAGGCGACATTTTTGTCACCGAAACGTCATACTTAACTCGCCTAATGGTTGTTCCATAAGAACTGATGTCACCAACCTGGAGAAAGGTTCGGAAAAAAAGGAACAATGGTTCTATTCGATCACACGCACCTTTAAAATGAAATGTATTGGAGACGAACAACATGGGCACAACAAATCAACAGAATACTTATTGATTGGCCAGCAAGTATTGCCAAAGCATACGCGAATTTATCGGGACATTCTCAATGTTCTAAAATTTGAATCTAGATCTAAAACATACTCACATATACTGAGTTATGGTCTCCAAGGCGAATGTTTACTATAAGTAAAGTTATCGTCTCCATGGCGAATGTTTACTATAGAGTGATCGTCTCCAAGGCGAATGTTTACTATAAGTAAAGTTATCGTCTCCATGGCGAATGTTTACTATAAGTAAAGTTATCGTCTCCAAGGCGAATGTTTACTATAAGTAAAGTTATCGTCTCCAAGGCGAATGTTTACTATAAGTAAAGTTATCGTCTCCATGGCGAATGTTTACTATAGAGTGATCGTCTCCAAGGCGAATGTTTACTATAAGTAAAGTTATCGTCTCCATGGCGAATGTTTACTATAAGTAAAGTTATCGTCTCCAAGGCGAATGTTTACTATAAGTAAAGTTATCGTCTCCAAGGCGAATGTTTACTATAAGTAAAGTTATCGTCTCCATGGCGAATGTTTACTATAAGTAAAGTTATCGTCTCCAAGGCGAATGTTTACTATAAGTAAAGTTATCGTCTCCAAGGCGAATGTTTACTATAAGTAAAGTTATCGTCTCCATGGCGAATGTTTACTATAGAGTGATCGTCTCCAAGGCGAATGTTTACTATTAATAGTTATCGTCTCCAAGGCGAATGTTTACTATAGAGTGATCGTCTCCAAGGCGAATGTTTACTATTAATAGTTATCGTCTCCAAGGCGAATGTTTACTATAAATAGAGTGATTACTATTAATGATTCTAAGAACGAAACAAAACCAAAAAGAAAAAAGAAAAAATTTAAAAACCCACTCATATTGAGTTATAGTCTCCAAGGCAAGTGTTTACTATTATAAATAGAGTCATCGGCTCCAAGCTTAAGCAAGTGTTTACTATTATAAATAGAGTCATCGGCTCCAAGCTTAAGCAAGTGTTTACTATTATAAATAGAGTCACCGGCTCCAAGCTTAAGCAAGTGTTTACTATTATAAATAGAGTCATCGGCTCCAAGCTTAAGCAAGTGTTTACTATTATAAATAGAGTCATCGGCTCCAAGCTTAAGCAAGTGTTTACTATTATAAATAGAGTCATCGGCTCCAAGCTTAAGCAAGTGTTTACTATTATAAATAGAGTCATCGGCTCCAAGCTTAAGCAAGTGTTTACTATAAGTAGATTTAAGACATAAACACACACATTGAACCATTAACTCCAAGGCAAGAGTTTACTATAAATAGATATAACATTTCAGAACACTTTAGTGTACACCAAGCAGGAGGTAATTCGGTCATCGCGCCGTACATTGATCATCATGTCGTTCACCGACATCGAGAATAAGTGCAAAGGTCAAAATAAATGCTGGGCGTTTTTTCACTTTAACTTTGCAAAGCTGTTCTATGTATATATCATGAATTCCAGCTTTTCCGACAGCATTCATAGTCGAAAATAAAGTAGCTCCAGTCCATTTTATCATTTAATATTTCTTAAAGTCAGTACATTAAAACCTAGGAATCTTATCAAATTTATAACTATGCATACACATTAAGCACTCGAGCACGCACATGGCGTTCTTCATGCTCCCCCCTCCCCCTCCCCTTCCCCTCTCGATTCTCTTACATTTAAACAGCTGGGAGAGTATTTCTTTAGAGAAACGCTCTCAATACTTTGTTACATGTAATTTTTATACTAAACACAATTTTAATACACTATTAAAATGCTTGATTCACGTGCAATAAATAGTACACCTCCTACGTCTCATTCAAACAGCTGTTGCTGTAAGGACATTTCCTGTACACATGTGTGCTTGTCAAATACAATATTCGACGTTTTAATTATAGAGGCGGTATATCAATAAGGACTGTGTACAATAAATATTCCGATAGGTGACTAATGATTGTTGACGGGGTAGGTACACTTACTTGTGTTGATGATGTTGTAAGGGGTGATGTTGACGGGGTAGGTACACACCCTTGTGTTGATGGTGTTGTAAGGGGTGATGTTGACGGGGTAGGTACACACCCTTGTGTTGATGGTGTTGTAAGGGGTGATGTTGACGGGGTAGGTACACACCATTGTGTTGATGGTGTTGTAAGGGGTGATGTTGACGGGGTAGGTACACACCCTTGTGTTGATGGTGTTGTAAGGGGTGATGTTGACGTGGTAGGTACACACCCTTGTATTGATGGTGTTGTAAGGGGTGATGTTGACGTGGTACGTACCACACTTGTGTTGATGGTGTTGTAAGGGGTGATGTTGACGGGGTAGGTACACATCCTTGTGTTGATGGTGTTGTAAGGGGTGATGTTGACGGGGTAGGTACACACACTTGTGTTGATGGTGTTGTAAGGGGTGATGTTGACGGGGTAGGTACACATCCTTGTGTTGATGGTGTTGTAAGGGGAGATGTTGACGGGGTAGGTACACACACATGAGTTGATGGTGTTGTAAGGGGTGATGTAATCGTGGTAGGTACACACCCGTGTGTGTTGTAAGGGGTGATGTTGACGGGGTAGGTACACACCCTTGTGTTGATGGTGTTGTACACACACACACACTTGTGTTGATGGTGTTGTAAGGGGTGATGTTGACGGGGTAGGTACACACCCTTGTGTTGATGGTGTTGTAAGGGGTGATGTTGACCCTTGTGTTGATGGTGTTGTAAGGGGTGATGTTGACGGGGTGACACACCCTTGTGTGATGGTGTAGTAAGGGGTGATGTTGACACACACCTTGTGTTGATGGTGTTGTAAGGGGTGATGTTGACGTGGTAGGTACACACCCTTGTGTTGATGGTGTTGTAAGGGGTGATGTTGACGTGGTACGTACCACACTTGTGCTGATGGTGTTGTAAGGGGTGATGTTGACACATCCTTGTGTTGATGGTAAGGGGTACACACACTTGTGTTGATGGTGTTGTAAGGGGTGATGTAATCGTGGTAGGTACACACCCGTGTGTTGATGGTGTTGTAAGGGGTGATGTTGACTTGGTAGGTACACACCCTTGTGTTGATGGTGTTGTAAGGGGTGATGTTGACGGGGTAGGTACACACACTTGTGTTGATGGTGTTGTAAGGGGTGATGTTGACGTGGTAGGTACACACACTTGTGTTGATGGTGTTGTAAGGGGTGATGTTGACGTGGTAGGTACACACACTTGTGTTGATGGTGTTGTAAGGGGTGATGTTGACGTGGTAGGTACACATACTTGTGTTGATGGTGTTGTAAGGGGTGATCTTGACGTGGTAGGTACCACACACGTATGTTGATGGTGTTGTAAGGGGTGATGTTTACGGGGTAGGTACACACACTTGTGTTGATGGTGTTGTAAAGGGTGATGTTGACGTGGTAGGTACCACACACTTGTGTTGATGGTGTTGTAAAGGGTGATGTTGACGTGGTAGGTACCACACACTTGTGTTGATGGTGTTGTAAGGGGTGATGTTGACGTGGTACGTACCACACTTGTGTTGATTGTGCTGTAAGGTGTGATGTGGACGGGGTAGATACACATCCTTGTGTTGATTGTGTTGTGAGGTGTGATGTTGACGTGGTAGGTACACATCCTTGTGTTGATGGTGTTGTAAGGGGTGATGTTGAGGGGGTAGGTACACACACTTGTGTTGATGGCGTTGTAAGGGGTGATGTTGAGGGGGTAGGTACACACACTTGTGTTGATGGTGTTGTAAGGGGTGAT